TTCTTTTCTTTTGAATCGATGGGGATTGTTTTTCAGATTTCTCTCGGATCCTATCCAGCAGCGAATATGTCGGAGTATTTGGTTCAATACTGGGTGTGAAACTCATTGCCAGAACACATGATGGAGTTTGATGTCGAGAAACGACACCTATGTGAGCCATGCTGACGAAATCCGGTCATTAAAAGATTAATAAATATTAGAGCAATAATAGAATGCAGAAAGTATGTGTATAGACTTGAAGGCAGTCTGCGATCAGAGTTTTTAGTTAATAAATTTAGAAACTTGCTCAAAAAGTAAATGTTCAGGTGTGAACTGTCAGCGAAGAGTAAAAAAAAGAAGAAACCATCGAGAATAGTTGGAAGTCGAGGATAGAGAAGACACGAGAGAGCACACCGTACGAGAGGGCGCAAACACCTCGCGATGGGTGACCATGGAAGCAAACTGAAGCTCTCCAACAAAGCTCTGGCACCCTTTCCACGCATTTCTGACCGTATTACGGCATAACCCTGAGCTTGCGGATTTTCAGTAGCCATCCACATAATGGATCATTCAAACAAGCTAATTGCGGAGGGTGCCTTCAATTAATATTGAGCCATTTCGAGGAACATCAGCAAATACAGCAGTTGAAATTTACTTCGCTAGAAAGACTGAGTCCTGGATTTAGTCATATTTGTGTCAGGATTTAGGGATTACCTTATCATATTCTCACTAACCTACGAGTTTGCCTATATCCTCTGTCGCGAAGACGTGAGGTCCAGGTACCGTTATGCCGGTGCAGACTTTGTGAATCGAGCGATTTCCTACTAGCGAATCACTCGATCACTCACACCGTCCTTAGGCTTCGCTGCACGCTGCGTGGATGTGCCAGTAGAAATGGGGACCCTTTTGCGGAGACTATACATATGCGAGCCAAGAACAAACGCGCGTCGAGAAGTGAGCTTTTTGCCCACATTCTGACAAGCGGTATAAATTCAGTTGAGAAAAAACATTGTGAAAAGGCAGGTTTAGAAAGGCTAAGCTTGGATGAAATGAAGCACGGAGCCTCCCCTCAGCTCCGTATTCAATGGGCGTGCGGCGTTCTGCTCGTTAACTTCGAAGATTGAGCTTGCCTGGGCTCTCACACACTCACATATGTTTAAGTAGACATTCTCAAGATTTTCAAGCAGTGGCGTCTCGGCAATCATTCTCGATGAGGGGTCTCAGTGAAAGAAACGATGCTAGAAATCCGTGGGGTCATAAGTTCGCGACTTCCACCACTGGATGCGTACGTTAAATGCCCCACTGTACAACATCTGTGATTTCCGAATAAAAATCGAACATGTGGCGCAATCCGAGGAAATTGATCGGCACTCACACCAAATTTCAATCTTTATAAATCAAAAGATTGCGTTTTACTCAGTCAGCAATTCGAGAAACACGCTCAAAAATTGGGCTTAAAAATGAAATCGAAATCCCATCGAAATCGAGTCCCATCGAAATCAAATGAAAAACATGTAAGGCCCTGAAACGCTGAGTCTAAGTGCTTCTGCTAAACAGGAATATGTAGATTTTCCAAATATCTCTATTCTTATAACAATCGGCATGTTACTTGGAAGCAGGGTAAATCGTACGTTGCACAGTTCTGAAAGGGGGTAGTGAGTCGCATATGAGGTTGGCGAATGTTAAAAGGTATAAAAAGAGGAAGGCGAATTTTAGAACCTTAAAAGGGGGCATGACCGAGGAGGGTTTTTTTTTTTCCCCCCCGTGTCGACAGCTTTCTAACGAATGCTAGAAGAAAAATTCACCAGCGCGATAAAAGCATAAACGTGAACAAAATCAGTAGGTTTGGACGCTTCGCATATTTGCCTCTTCTCCCTCCCTGTCGACGGCGGTTTTGGAGAAAAAAACTGGGCGGGCTTGGAGGTGTCAACTGGTCTTACTGGTCTCACGATCAACCGCAATAGAAACAGCCATCAATGTGGGAGGAGGGTGGCCGAAGTGTGCGAGGGTGAACCCTGGTTAGCGGCCTTTCAAAGGCGATAGGGGGATCATATCGAGACCCCTTCTAGTAGGAGGAGGGTCGTCAAAGTTTTGCAATTGGATCATCGAAAGGTTGCCCCTGGTTTTAACTTTGTTTGTTTTCCTGTGCCTTTTGGGGGTTGTCGTGTGGAACATTGATAACGGTCGAGAACTTCGGACCATTCAATAAATGTTCACTTAAACATCTTTATAAGGCATAAAAAACTAATATAAAAAACCAAAGTGACAGCGACGCTAAGCAAAAAAAGCCTTTTCCCGGGCGCGTAATACGACTGTATCGTCAAGATGCCTTCAATGGCAACCAGGCCAAGGTTATGAGCGTCTCACATTCTTTTTAGTATCTCTCATTCTTCGATGTCATTTCTCCGTGAATCGTCACTACTGACAGGCATAATCTGATGTACTTTGACAAGATGATTTGGGGCGTTATGGGTAAAACTTTCGGCGTGAGCAATCTTCTTTTGGGGTGCGCCACGCATTGGTGGTAGTTCTACTCAGAAACGTAATGGCATTTGAATGCGATTTGGCCTATACAATGACTTGGTGGAGGAACCGATGTGGCAGGCTCAAGCGTTTTCACCCTCCCAGACATGTGTGGTTCCAATTGCCTGACTCCGGAGTGCGGAAGTCTAGGCTGACCTTAACGAAACTTGATAGTGAATTCAACCCCCGTACCACGCACATGGGAAATTACGACACTTACCACTACACCACGTGCGCCCTTGGATTGAGAGTAGTACCTAACAGGAGACCTGTCGAGCGACGAGAAGGCAGAGACGCACACTGGTCAGCGGGCGAGTCGCAGCGCGTTATATGCAACGTGAACTTATTATGTACATCCTATCTAATCTTGACTCTGAACTGCTACAGCACGCGCTACAGCTCCTCCATTGGCCTGCCTGCGCCCCTGCTTTCTCACCGCGCGACGGGCCTTCTTCGGGTACCGATTGAAGGTACTAAGGCTGTTGCAGAGTCCGCATTCTTCGCGATTTCCCGCGATTGGCGCGATGGTGTGAGGCGAACCTGCGAGGGTTGAAAGTGCCCGATGAATACTGCGAGGTGTTGTTTAATCCTGCTGCGAATTCTGCTTGGCAGTAAAGATTGGAAGACGAATGTTTGTGGTTCTACTTGTTTCATGTTCAATGTCTATTAGTTCATTGAAATGCTCTTGAATCGTTCCTATTTTTTTCAGGAATCAAACCAAACCAATCACAAAAATTGCAAGTGCCCCATTTGAACAATTGAAACACTGGATATGAAACAAGTGGAATCATGAGCAGTCTCCATTAAACCATAACCATCAAGCAGAAGTGACGGCGGGATTGGAGAACACCTTGCAGTATGGATGGGGCACTTGTGATTTCCGTGACCCGTCGCGCAAATCGCGAAAATCGCGCAAAGGATCGCGGACTCTGACATCAGCCTAAGGGATAGAGACTACTTGAACTGGGTCCTTTACCGCCTCTGCGCTCTCTAGCGGGTCCCTCTCTTCTCCAAGGCTTGGTCCTAGGGCATTCTCTAAATTGTCAGGAACCATTGAGGAAAAATCAAGTAGTCCGTAAATCATTTCATTTCAGAGATATTGGCTCGTTTGATTCATTCTCCATTTTGTGAATTAGGTCCATTAACCACTGAAAAGCTGAGGAGGCGAGCTGGTCTCAATATGGTAATGCCGTGTAACCCATTAGTGCAGGTTGGGTCCTAATCTGAAAACAGTCGGACAGTCATCTGGTACAAAAGTGATGGTCGAAGGTGGAATCGTCGCGACAAAGGATTAAAAACGGTATTGCAACAAAAACAGCAGAATCCTATCGATCGTTCTGCGAATTAGATTCAATTAGAGGGCGACTACTGGCAGCTTGGGACAAATGACAATTTGCCTCTTTCCACTCAGGGTATGAATTAACAATGCACTGGGAAAATTCCCCTTTAAAATCTTTTCTAGGAAGAAGTCTTTTCAGTTTACCTTGGACGAGCCTAAGATTGCGAACCGCTTCGAATTCCGTTTTGAGTGACTTGCATATTTTTCTGGTAGGGACTCTTCATAGCCTTTTTAAATGGATCCTTGTTTTATTGCCGTTTCCTGGCTGATGACTTGCTGTGCAAACAGCTCCAGAAAGATGGGCAATTCATATACACTCGCGGCTGTTTGTGAGACATACTGGTGTGCCATAAATATGGCGTCAAGGTACATTACTAGCTGTGACACACAGCGCCATTCGGGACCACGACCCTCTGCAAATGTTTAATCTGCAGTATAGCAACGGAACACATGGAATTTTTTGGGATATGGGTCGTTTCTGGCACGAATTACAGTTTACTCGCAATGTACGCTTCATCGGCACCACGTATGGTTTACTGAAGACTTTTGGCCCAATAATCAAGACTTCTTCCGTTTTAGTTATATCCTGTTCAATACCCCACCTTTGCTCTATGAATTAGAAGTCTGTTGAGTTCATGTCTGGCAAGCTTGTCTTTAAAGGTAGCCAAATAGAAAAATTGGGACTATGGCATGACATCCATTTTGAAACCTCCCTTCGCAAGCTGCAAAATAAGCTCCATACAGTACTCATAAATGACTTTTGATCCATGGTGATAGTCGCCCTAGCATACCCCTTGCATATATTGTCCTTTTCATGAGATTGTGACGTCTTTTGACAGGTATGAAAGCTCTCCTTTAGCACGGCAGAATTCGACTCTTTCCTCTGATCGATTTGGCTAGTACAGCTTCAAGAGGGTTGACTGATCCTGCTTGTTGAACAATTTTCCGCTTGTGGAAAGCGCGGCGGGCTCCCGTGCTGCCGTCGAAGCATAATCGAAATGAGTGAGCACGAGCGTGACCATGCTTAAATGACCATCGTATTCAATCAATTTTGCAAAGGCATTCACAGTACAAACGTCTGTAGGGGTCACCGGTATTTCACTATCAATTTCACTTCAAATTACATTTCCAGTGCTACTCTGTTACCATAGTTGTAGCGCTTACGGCTAGTGTAGGTACGACCGCTCACCTCAAGAAATACGTATGTACCGAATCCCTACTCAAAATCAAAAATGTATTTGAAATTAACCAATTTTGTATAACTTCTGAGACCGAGGATTCAGTTTATTCGCCTCTATAAAAGCCTAAATCGCTCGTGGTTCACCATTGATTGAAAAATAATTTTTAGCAAAAATTCAACCTGAAACAGGACCTTGTACTTAATTTAGATGAAGAATTTTTTGTAAGCGGTCTTGTTCATTGGCAGTTCGGCGTATTTGCACAGTGTTAGGAGCACTAGTAGACGTGGCCTTAGAGCTGATAACGACGCACTCTCGGAACCAAAATGCTGGCATCCGGCCACATCTTGTTTTTATTCGCTTTCTCAGGTAGGTTATTCGGTATTTCTGAGTATTTTCTCAGGTTTTCACTTAACGAAATCGAAATGACGTTAATGTGGAGTTTGAGTGAACTGTTTTCAAGGCAATCGCATTTTTTCTCCGTGAAATCAGCGTAAAAATTATCGGGTAGATGAATCCGGAGCGGAAATGGAAAATAAGAAGGCTTAATCATTAAGCTAAACGAAACATTTACCTCTCATGATTGTTGGGCTATGTTCCGGATTCTCTACAACTGCTTGCCTCAGGATGTAACCTCTACTATACTTTTTCGTTTTGATTTCCCTCTTACCACTACACCATTACGGCTACGTAGTGGCATCACTTTTGATAAATCAATTGATCCAACTCTAAAACTGCTGAATTCCTGGGAGACAATCTAGAAATCAGAAATCGGTCAAGTTATATAGGAGGCGGGGGTGTGGCAGTGGCCCCAGCTACGCCCAGAGCGATCCTCTCCCTCCAACTCATTCGAGCCTTCCTTCTTTGAAAGACCTCTGTACATTGGCTGGCTCTCAAAGGTCTGAAAGACATCGTATAGGAAACTTAGGTATTTATATGAAGAGTAATCATGGGGAAGAAAGCTACTCCGAACAGAGCTCAGATGCGTGGCGCATCTTGGAAATCCAACTGAAACAGCTTGGTCTCCATATACAACTTGTGTCGCCACAACATTCATTTTTCTGAAACTTTTTGATGGTTCTATTATTAGTATTTCATACATCGTCAGCCTCGTCAATTTGCTTTCTGACGAATTATGACGATATTCATCAATACAGAATTCCCTTTTGAGTCAATATTTGATTTTGTTCCATGAACATAGTGGAAATCGCAGCAAATTGAATATTGAAAATGGTTAAAATGACTGAGGCGGCCAACAATTCAGGGTTGCCGCGGGACCCAAGTTCAGGCGTTGAGCCACGCATTCGATTGCAGTTGAAAGCACTAGTATGTTTCCTAATATGACATTACTAAGCTGTTTTTTACAGTTTCTGATCAATAGGGCTGCTGCGAATCTCTCGATGCAGACCAGGAATCCAAAATTCCTCCCGTTGCCAAGCGAGGATAGGGGCCTCGTCGGAGTGATAAAAAGCACTACGGTTTCAAAGTGTTCACTGAGATCAGAACTCACGCTGGCAAGCTGTTTCAATGTTGAGGGCGTTTTGGCAGCCGTATATATAGCGGAAAGAACGTTGAAAGGACTTAGTAAGCGTTCCGTCGTGACCAGTACGCGTACCTGAACCTGCTTTCTGAGTAAACCCCTTCACTTGAACCGTACGGGATGGCTCGGTGGGAAGAGCGTAACCTATGATCGCATTAGTGACTTGCGACTTGAAATGCTTATTTAATGCTATCAGGATTGTTATAGTGTTAGTTCAACTGAAAGCTGCTGTGCGGTTACCTGCGCAATGAAGGAGCAAAGAAAGCGCTCTAATGCTGACCGGTAGAGCACTGTACGTGCCAAGAGTAAGAGTGTTTAGGCGTACCCACCGGAGGTTACGCGCGCGGGCAGTTAGCAGGTGCACCGCGCATGCATAAATTCGCGTTAGTTGGCATGGAAAGTAGCATTTACTTCCACTTACACTCAACGCTTGCGGACTCTTCCGCTGGGCTCAGCTGGGGCTTTGCCTGCGCGAGCGAGCTCCTTTCGGGTCCCAGGAGTTGGAGGGCAAGGAGAGCACGTGTTAGGCGAAGGCGGGGTGTGGGGGGAACGATGGGGGAATCGGGAAGGGATATGCGTGACAAGCTTAGCTGTCAGGCCAGGTATGAGGCACCCACGGGGTGTCGGCGGGTTCTACCTAGGGGCGATAAAACACAGACGTCTTCATATAGCTGTAAGACTGTTTCAGTTTAAGCTCGAAGCCGGGTGCGGAGCTTATTCTGGTAGGTTGATAAATATCACTCTGGTGTCGCGATTGGGACCCGCATTTCCAACTTAGTTTTACAATTGCTAACCGTTCTATTTGTCATTGCCTTCAGACTGCATCAAGGTGGACTACAGCTTCGAAACAGAATCGGTTCTCTATGATGTGGTGGAGAATAAACCGAAGGCGCCGACGACATATGTGGCCGGAAACTTTTCTTTCGAATCGCTTCACCATGATCTCGAGGGCGGGATGCTGGGAAGATACAGGGTGAGTCGTAATAGAAGATTGACTTGATTGACCCTGGCTTTGATGGTTTTAGTCCGCTGATGGTGCCTTACTGAACCTCACTAAAAACCTACTAACCTCACCTCACCTGTTCAGAAGTTTTTCCATAGTTAGGATTTTTTAGTCTACAATTCTTTGCGACGAGCTTTTGAATCACGGTGTATAGGTGTAATCGCTGACTAGGTGGGACGGCGTATATTAGCAGGAAGGCGAACATGATAGGATTCTATCTAGTTAGTTGCCGTACCAGCTTTCAGGACTTTTTGATGGTGGTTCTAATCGTCTGTTGCGGATGTGGAAAAACCTAAATCAGGTTGGCTCGCAAGCACGGTGTGCATAGCCTGAGCACACAGACAGAAGTCGTATCCGGTTGGCTGGGACGCTGTTAGGGCTGAATACTTTATATGCCACGTTGAGCAGCTAAATTCTCCATTCGGGAGTGCAACTAAGAAACAAATCCGATGGAATAGAAACTCAGGGAGGTCTTTTTTAGCTGACAGTTTGTAAGACCGGCAATTGTGGCAACGTGCGGACATCTATGTGTCATTCGTCCAGGGAGGAAACAATATTCAAGAAGTTCTTTACGATGCCACGTTAGTTTTCCTCAGTTTAAGGGCCGAATCAGCCGTCCTTGCATGGAACTTCGATTATTGAAACCCTAAGAACAAAATAAAATGTGTTTATAGGCAATTTCCTAACGAGAAGCCCAGGTGGAATTTTATCTTTGCTATAATAAACACCATTTATACGCCCGACCCGAAAATGGAGCACGGTGTACAATTCGTGGTGAGTCGACGATTCACATCCCACACTAACCAGTGGCCTGTCACCTCAACCGATGCGATGGGAGGAGCCGTTCGTTCGTTCTAATTTCGTCTCTTCCTCAGACTATGCTTCAGATAAAAAATGAAAGGTTCTCTATTTCAAGGACACTGTGTACGGAAAATGTCAAGTGCAGTTCGGTAGACCTGAAGACAAGCGATTCCGAAGAAAAATTAACAACTGCGAGATTAAAGGAGAAGTGTAGGTTTGAAACCCCAGCTATTCTGATCGTGAGAGGATGTTTGGAATGGCAGAGAAGTTCCTTGGTTGGTTTCTTCTGTTAGGGTATCAGCTGTCTGATAGGTCAGTCCTGGACCGTCGAAGATGGGGGACTCTGGCGATTACTGGGAGGACTCCATGCCGAAACGATCGGCTCTTTGTTTTTGGGGCCACCCCAAAAAGTTTTCAGTGGATTCTGTGTTTGAACTCACTGTGTGACAGTGTCCACCGCCTGTTCGGCGCTTATTGAGAGAGCGGTAGCTTTGCTGATCTGGGAGGTGGGGTCGCTTTTGGGGTGAGCAGGTTTTTGACGGGATTTCAACGATTTTGATTTGGAAATTTTACGAGAGTAGTGAGATTGCGAAAATTTGGTGCATTGCGCTTCATGGTACCGGTTTTACCTCAGATCGCCGGCTGTTTTAGGAGCAAAGTGAGGTGAGGTAGAGCGTGTGGGTCGGATAGCTAATGCGTATGGTCCATATTTTCGCATTTTGCTGCATTTATTTTATTTATTTATTTATTTATTTCTATACGTCCAGTGGACGCGCTTGGACAGAGCATGTTCGAATAGAAATACTATCAGACGCTAAAAAGGCAGCAGTCGTCCTCAGTTGAGTCACAATAATTGATGGTTCAACGTCCGACTTAACCAACTTGTAAAGGAAAAAAGTGAGAGAGGGGGCAGTTCAAAAGATTCCTTGAGTATTTTTTTGAAACTCTGGGTCATACACTAGGTTGATCAGTGAATTTGTGTACAGATTTGGAAGTAACAAAGAGCATTGCCATGAGCCATAAGGTTAGTGCCTCAAAGATAACCCTACTGCGAGGCCGCAGCCCTACTAGGGCGGGAAAACCTCTTTGATCTATTACGACCATAGGGCTGGCATAACTTGGGCTCATTTTGAGAATGGCTAATAGGCTTTGAATGAATTCCGTAGATTTTAATCAAGTTGGATCAACAGCTGGTGTATAACACAACCATTTAGACGTTTCACCATTATATTTCATCACCATTGAATGGTATAGATTTGATTTGAAGCTTACTGAGAGACTGCAATCCTTTTTGCTCACAACATAATCGTGAATAATATACAGTAAAACTGCTAGCTAGAGTGAATTAACACTTTCAAATAATATCAGGAAGACCAATCACACGAAGAAGATCAATTTTCTTGATAGCTCTTCTGAATTTGTCGGAATTATCACAGGCTAAAAAGATGAAGGAAGCTTGTCCAGCCATTTACTTGTTCTGCAAAAAAAATTGTTTTCACTGATACTGCGCCTGCAAATACCCATTTTTGGAACAATTTGAAATGAACAACCGCGTCTACCACCAGTGGGGCGGAATATCCAGTACTTAGATGGACGCAAGTGCAATTCGCCTCTTAAAATTTTGAAAGCCAAGATTATATCTGACTGGATTCTCCGATAATAAAGAGATTTCAAATTGAGCTGCTCCAAGCGATTTCTATATGAAGGCATATTTAGAGGGTAAGTTGGGTCAGGGAAAATGCGGTGGAATAATATCCTAGTAAAGCTCTTTTGGACTTTCTCAATTTTTTCGATATCTTTCTTGAGGAACGGACTCCAAACCGAGCTACAGTACTCAACTAGAGGCAGCACAAACATTTTAAAGATTTTAATCCATACAGCAAGATCAGAGCAGTGGATATTTCTGAAGAGGCAGTGAATCACTTTTAAAGCTCTGTTGTGAATATTGTCAATATGGGTCTTCCATTTGAGGCCTTTTGTCAACAAAATACCAAGATCTTTGACAGGATCACAAGAAGACATAGAACCAAACTGAGGACACTGGATACGAAGGGAATTGGTGGTGACAGAAAACAAATGACTCTTCGAAAAATTAACACTTAGATTCCACCGATCAGTCCATTCCATCATCCTTTCTACAGATTTTGTTAAGGCTGCTTGTACTGCCTCCTTCTCATGAGTACTGTATATCGCATAAACTTTGATGTCATCAGCATAAGCAGCTACTTTGATATTAGGGTGCGTCTTGAGATATGGTAGAAGATCACTTGTGTAAATAATAAATAGTAAGGGAGAAAGAACTCCTCCTTGCGGTACCCCAGACGTGCATTCTCTAGGATTAGAGAGGTGATCAGATATACGGACAACCATCTTGCGTTCACATAGATAGGATTCGAACCACTCCAAAAGATTACCCCTCACGCCTATGCTATGGAGCTTAACTAAGAGGTTAGCATGAGAAACTGTGTCAAAAGCTTTACTCAGATCAAAATATATGACATCCACGTCTTTTCCAGAGTTTAGGGCGTACACCCAGTCATAAGTGCAGTCAATCAGCTGTGTGAAAGTGGAGGCCCCTGGTACAAAACCATGTTGTTCAGACGGGATGATTTTCTGGATAGTAACCCATGACAAAAGATGTTCCTTCAATAGCTTTTCAAGAATTTTAATCGGAGCGGGCAAAATACTTATAGGGCGAAAATCAGAAACACTTTTAGCATCATTGAGTTTCGGTATGGGTGTAACATAAGCTAGCTTCCATAGTGAGGGCACTTGTCCGAGTAACAACGAAATGTTAAAAATATGTGCCAGGGGGACCGCAAGAAGGTTACAAAAACATCTGAAAAAGTACTGCGGGATATTATCGGAGGTGAGGGATAGGGACGGTTTGAGGGAGCGAAGTTGTTCAGCAACAGTATGGGGTGAGATGCAAAGCGATGGAAAGGTGGAAACACATGATTGAGGTAGATCTCTAATCAATACAATTCACTTTAGGCTTAAAAACTGAAGTGACGTAGATGCCTCAAGGTTCTCCTATCATAATCCGAGATCCACCTTTCTAGAGCTTGAAAAAACATTGGAAAAAGTGCTAGCAAAAGCTTCTGATTTAGAGCATCGTCGGAGCATTTAGTACCGTTCACAAACAAACGGCTAACAAGGACCGGACCTGTCGAGACGCGCGCAGAGTCTGATCTTCTTATCCATAACAATCATATGGTGGATTGAAGGGACCAGTCTCGGGTAAGATGTCTTTAGCAAATGACGCAAGATTCCTTTATATTATTTTTAGAAAAGAAACTCGCAGTCGCTCCCATTCTTGCTGTCAGATGAACACGCTCAATATATTTAATGTTCCCTATCTGAGATGCTTTTCCAACATGACACATAACGCGATAGAGATCAGAAACTCGCCAAGTTCCTTGCACAGAGCAAATTATAGAATATCCTTATTTTTTTTTTCTGATGAAAGAGAGTTTTTTATGTGAGGTGGATAGGTGGAACTATTGCCCCACTTATTCTCACATATTGGCACATGCTGATCAATGATGTTATGAATAACAGTACAAAACCGATCATATACGTCATCAATATCTCTGTAGTTCTCAAAAAGAGACAGCCAGTCAATTGACGAGAGCTGTTCTGAGATGGCTGCCTTGTTACAGGATTTGAAGTCTCTGTACCAGACGGTTGGTGGGCTAGGCGTTGTATTTGACACTTTAAACGTAAGTATATTGTGATCTGAAGAAGCAAGAGGTGGTAGTATATTTAAGGTCAAAATGCTCTGTTCCGAAGAAAGGATAAGATCAATGATTTTCTCCATTCTAGTTGGATACCGCACATGTTGATGAAGCGATAGAGAATCAAACAAATGGGTAAATCTCGCAGCATTTGAACTGTTGGATGATCTCGACACCTCCTCAATGTCAAGATTAAAATCACCCAAAATTGTTACTTCTTTCGATGAAGTGGATGAAAGGTCAAACAATATTGATATGAGATTTTCATCATGAGAGGCAGATGATGAAGGGGGACGGTACACAAGAATGAACCGACGATGCATTCCAGAAATAAATGCAACATCAACACAGATAACATCAGCAAGTAAATCAGATGATCTAAATTCTACTCTTTCAAATATAAGAAGTTGGTGAAGAAGAATACAGACGCCTCCACCATTTCTTCCCACCCTGTCATTCCTGACAAGATTATAAGGAAGATCAGCACAAATTTCGGAATCTGATATTTTAGAGCTCAACCAAGATTCAGTAACAAAAACTATATCAGGTTTATACATAGCAACAAAATGGTGGAAATGATGTAACTTCTTTACCAAGCTGCGAGCATTCATTAGAGCACAAAAGCAATCGGGCTCTTCATGCACCTCAGATATGGGATTATTCAGTTTTTTGACAATGAATTCTTCAAAGCTTGGATCTCAGAGGCTTTAACAATTTCACCACGATATACAACAAAAACACGATTACCACCATGCTTATCGCGATTCAGTTCAAAGGCTCGCTTTCTCATTTCTTTATCCTTTGCCCTCTCATCAGGTGTCATAGATTTCCTTATATAAACTTTGTTGAATCTAGGCAGTGAGCGTAATTGACTTGATCTAGAAAGCATTTGATACATGAACTTCTTAGAAGAAAAAACACACTTTATCAATCTAGGTCTTTCACCCATTTTCCCCATTCTAAATACTTCAACCGGTCGAGCCTCGATGTCTAAAGCATCAAGAATTTCAGAAACGCTTTTCTCAGTTTGTTCCTGACGAACAGAGGGGGGTGACTCCCGCTCTGCTTCAGGAATTCCATAAATTACAACTGAACGCTCTCTTTTTTCAGCTTCAATAAGGTCCAGTGATGAAGATGGTAACTTACTGATGAATTTGTCCAGCAGAGGAAGTACTTCAGGAGCTTTAACTGCCAAAATATTCTGAATTTGACTTAGCAGTTGCTGAGCTTCATTGTCGATATCACGAGGTGGTTGAACATTCGGCTGCACAGTAGAAACAGCGGGAGCAGACTTCCCTTTTCTTGTTAGATTCTTCATAGAAGAGGTTGATGGTGGGGTTGACTTCAGCATACTTAAGCACAACCGCTCGGTATGGTTGCAGAGAGAGATGAAACATGATAGCGAAGAATCGAATGAAGCCACAACACCAAACAATTGAATCTGTGCAGCCGAATGTTCAACCACCTCGTGATATCGACAATGAAGCTCAGCAACTGCTAAGTCAAATTCAGAATATTTTGGCAGTTAAAGCTCCTGAAGTACTTCCTCTGAACTGATATTTCTTTATTATTTTTTTTTTTCGACAAATTATCAGTAAGTTACCAGCTTCATCACGGCGACCTTTATTGAGCACTGAAAAGAAGAGGCGATTCAGTTGTAAATTATGATTCCTGAAGCAGACGGGAGTCACCCCCTACCTTGGTTGAGCTCGTAAAACTATCATGATTACGAATTTGTGCTGATCTTCCTTATAATCTTGTCAGGAATGACAGGGTGGGAAGAAATGGTGGAGGCGTCTGTATTCTTCTTCACCAACTTCTTATATTTGAAAGAGTAGAATTTAGATCATCTGATTTACTTGCTGATGTTATCTGTGTTGATGTGAGTATATGACAAATGTAGTAGATTTGAGGGGCATTGCATCGATGATCATGGGTAAAGAGCAATCAATGCTTACAGCGTGCTAAAATAATAACAAAGACGCACATCCCTTTCCGCCCTATACTATTATATCAAAAACTGCACGAGACTTGTCCCGAAAGATGTCCGTGGGGTGACGAGAGAAGTTCCCTCGATATATGTAAGTATCACCCTCCTTGAGTACACTGTCAATGGCGCCTACCATGGCCTCCTCCTGTGGAGAGCCAAAACGGCTCTCATACAGAGAACTCCTCGTCATTTACTCACCCTGATCAAAAGCTCTTGCGGACCAGTCAGGAACGCAAATAGTGACAAGGTGCATACATCACCCTCTGAAACCATATTATTTCAGGTGTTTTGCTATTCGTAGACTTTTTGGGTTCGATCGAAAGCCATTATCACAAGCAGAACGCGCGTATCCGTTGGCTTATGGCATAATCGTCTACAAGAACCCAGTTCAAGTACGTTGATGTCTCCTCCTTAAAATTTGAAGGCGAAGTTCACTGCAGCGGCTTTGAGGCAAAAACAAAGCCCTTTCGGAAGAAAGTCGAGAGTTTGAAATCAAGTTGCTGGTTAGATATACTTTTTGTCACATAGAATCTAAGCAAGCTTGATTATGTTGGGACCACAATAATATAGAACAATCAATGCGATTGGGTGCTTGATGCTGCTCCCACGAGGTTAATAGGTGGGAACTTCATTAAGGCCAACGTTTCCAGTTTTACGTCGTTTTCAAAGGCCAAAACATGACTCAATGCTTAGGAATTGCTCACAATCTTCCCAAATGTCCTCTCTAGCTTACAGTCCTTTTACAGTCACGGTGTTGAGGAGATGCCCGCTCGCTTATTCAGGTAAATAGCTCACAAAGTTGCATGAACAAGAAAGATTGATTGTCATGACATCTCATTTCGGTTGTTCATCGGATTACTTGCCGAACTCCAGAATGCTTCGTTCGTTTTGTTTAACGAGATCTCTGTCTCACAGGCCAGTATCCTGCACTTGATATTCAAGTAATTAATCGTACTGTTCTGCCCTGTGTTTTCCTACGGTTGTCAACTCCTTACTGCGCCGTTCAGTTAGGTGTTCTTTTATACGTGTTGACTGAGTTCTACCAGTTTCTATGCATGTTGAGTTACAAGTCTCCCCCCCCCAACTGATAGATACACCTACTAGGGCGCATTCTTCATTTTTTGTATTCGGACATGTAACGCAGCCCTCTGATAAACACTGCTCATCGTTAAAGCAACAGTCCGAGCAGGATCTGTTGCTTTCAATACTATTGGGATTGGAAGGATGCAGTAGCCCTAGTGGAGAACATATGAAGTGTAAATGTTAACAGAACTCACCTCTGAAAGCCGCAAAAAGGGCGTCAAACTCCTTAAAAGTGGGTGTGGTCGGAAATTCTCCGGGCACTCCCACTTGCCAGCAATTGCAATTGGCGCATTTACTGCGGGCAGGTTCGGACAACTCGTCCAACACACGTCTTCCTCCATCGCTAAACGGCAGGGGGAGTCCCTGTCTAAGCCCCTGCCCGACGTTTTTTTCTTTCATTATTGGTCCAACTTCTCACCTGCAACTTCATTATAGGTGGTTTTTACCCGCGAATTCGTTCCTGAATTTTGCTTCAAGTTAGCAAGCAGACGTTTGATGTTATCGCTGCTGATGTTTACCAAACGACATCGTCGCTAAATTGTGCGCGACACAAGACATCGTTGTATTGCAGCTGAAGCTTGTCAGAGATGAATGGTGAACACAGAGGAAGCTTATTCTGGCGAAGAGTGCTCCTGTTATCAACGTGGGATCTTCGAATGTGAGGGGATACCGCCTAAGAATTTGCAACGGATATACTAGAAGCCAATCGTAATGACTCTTCACATTCAGCTACATCACTGCACATGCGCGTAGCTGTTCTGTACATGTTTCCGATAACAGCACGATTTCACAGCAGAAGGATGTGCAGACGTGGCATGAATCAAGACGTTTTAGAGCTTATTTTCCGGTACCACGTCACACACATATATCACGACACCGGACATTTGGAGCTGTGTGTTTGGATGGAGGAGCTGACCATTTTGCGGTGTTTCTCGTGTAAGCCCAATGAATGAGACCATGAGTGCTCGTTCATAATGCGGGAAAGTTCATCCGTCCTGGACTGTGTTGAAGTTACTATGCAGCAATCATCTATCTATCTGCAATACATCAACGTAAACGTTCCAGCATTGGTTGTTCAATCCTGTTCATGAAGCGAATCGCTAGCACTGGTACTTACCGTTGGCCACTGCTTGCCTTATAATTTGAGAATAATAGGAGCTTGAGCATTCAGAGATGTTACATTGCTTAATTAGAGTCATGATGTGCACCTTCCTCACGACCAGTCAAAACTCACAATTCTTCCACCATGCATATGCGTCACTTAGGATAATGCCCGGAGCTGGCCTAGGGCTGTTTGTTTGAACATTGGTGAGAGGAACATAACGTCAAATGACTCCATACGCAAGTTCAATTAAAACGCAAGTCATTTAATTGATTAAGGAACTGATTCGCGTTGGATAGAGGGAATTTTGGTCATCAACTGACTTACAATGCAATTCAAGAACCACAAAATTGGGGCCGTTGGTTCGCCTATGCAACTCATTTTGTAAGTGTCTGCCGACGTCGATAGCAAGTCGTTTGGTGCAGTTTCTGGGTTTTCACCAAATTGTAAGACACTCAACAACTTGTAGGATCATACCTAAGACTACAGAAGAATCCTTCATCAAGAATTGCAAGCCTTCCCTCATCGAAATATGGTTGAGACGCCACATCGTGATGAGAGTTACTTGGCTGCGATCCCCACATGTGGAGATATTTCCCGATCTGGTGATTGCGACACAACAACGAATTCCCCCTAATCGCTGATAAAGCTACCATTGGATCATTTGATCTTGGCTCGCACAATTCCCTGAACCCTTGCCATCAGTCAAATGTCAAATGTCTAATGTGGTGTCGCTTATGCTGCTTTCAAACTTTAAGTACATCAGAAAATGATATTCGTATCTTGACGTCTACGTGTATATTCTCAGATTCCTTATAAAAGTACACGGGAATGCTATTGAAGGTAGAGATCTCTGAGTTGCAATAATTTGCGGGTTATTGTCGCTGCGGTACAATACAATACAATGCAGTGTCTTTGGTAGAGCGGACAATTCTCTTTCAAATATATTTAGTGGGATGAGGGAGCGAAAGAAAAGTCAGTTCGAACATGGAGACATCACCAAACTTCAGGGTGCCGCCGTTGATGGAAGCCTCACGGCAAATTAATCCTCTCTCACATGTACCCTCATGAGCAGAAGCAGGCCCTCCTTCACTATCCTCACCGTCTTCAGAATATGACGTCATCTGCCGTCACCGTCGAGCTCAACGAGGCTTACCGTAATCGCTCAACCTGAAGCTGCTACTTGACTTCCTTCATCAGAACTAATGGACAGCATCCTAGGGGCAGCAGATCCGACCGTACACACCCCCTTTGACCAGCGTTCTAGATAACATCTCAACCATCGGGTACTTCTTTGAGTTAAAGCCGTGCACCACCTTCAACACAATTTTCAGATGCCGTCGGTGTAGAAAGCTAATAAGTTGACTCAGAAAAAAGGTTCTCATGCCTTTTGAAGATGAGAAGACGTTCTAAGACTTCAGGAAGGAAAGGAACTCTAGAGAAGATCTGAGAAACTTGTTCTACGCGGCGTTTCTCCCCTGCCATGGGCTTCGTCCTGGTGTCACCAAGTATCGGCCCCGTCTCGAATGCCCCCTCAAGGCCATGGGAGCCAAGAAAAATTCTGTTTAAAAAAAAACGGCATAGGGTAAACTAGACGTAGGAGTCATACTAAGATGGGCCAGGAAGCAGTTATTTAACAACGTATATATTCAGGTTCTTTTTATGCTCAGTTCTTTTTATCGGCCTCAGAATGAGTACTGTATTGCTGTAAGCGGAGGATGTGATACAATGTTCAAAATCATTATGGACGAAGTCGATGCGTGTTTCGACAACATTCGAGTTCTAGTAAGTGTTCACAGAAGCCTTTTGATTGTCAAAATTATGCTTGTTCGCGAACCACACAGACTCAAACTAACATTCCCAACGCTGCAACTCGCAGCTTTGCGTCCTAATATTTCGCTGTTTTCCTTGCGCTGTTTCGGGATCAAAACCGCAGCAAAATCATATGTATACAACATTAATCAACGAGTCGTACCACGCAAAATCCTATGAGGAATGTAGATCAAATACAAATCGTTCAGCATCGGCCACCAATTGAGTGGGGATCATTTGAGATCATCAACTCGACGAATGCTTGTCTTGAGCTGCTGTCGAATAGTACGACACCATGGAAATACTTCCAGGTAATTATCGAAAGGATGCGCCATAACACTGTTACACCTTTATGCGTAACAGTTTACCGTGGCGCCTTTTCAGATACTGTTGAAGTCCTGTGCATTTTGGTCGAGGTTTATGTCTCAGTTTTTTTTATATTTTCAGAAGAAAAAAAACCTTGCCTATATTGAGCCACAATTTCGAACACCTCGCCAACGGGTTTCAGACATCGTTATTCATCGCGCCAGTCCGACGGCTTTCGCAATTACGAAATAATGCAAGTCCCTGTTCGATCAAGCTCTTCAGTTATGATTAGCTAGCTAAAGGAAACTGCCAGGAAAAAAATAGAAGTTACTGCGCGGAAACATGGGGTAAATAGCTTTCGGAAGAGCTATTGCAGCACATACACATGCTTAAGTGATTGTCTAACAACTATCAATCGAAGTGCTCAAGGACTGGAATGCTCCTCCTCAAGAGCTTTTTGGCAAGCTTGTGACCAATAGGGTACATGTAATAGACATGCTGCAGTCCCGAGCGTTTACGTAATACGCTATTCGCGTTCTTTTCATCGCATGCTTCTCTCAGTATCCTCCAGTGATGTTGAACAATTGTCATGCATACTGCACATTTAATCAAGCTAATTTATCGAATACTATTAGGTTGGAACGATTGAAATGTCGCTTCCGTTTGTGCCTTTGTTTCTCAGCTTAAACACAATCTCTTAGGATGGGAGACCATTCATTCGAGAGAGCGATTCAGCACGCATATTGCGAAATCTTAGGCGCCACTGAGCGGATGTTCTTCGAGCCAAAACTTTTGCTCGAAGATGACTGATCAGAAATCATCGTCTGAGCGTATATATTCAAGCAAGAAAAACGGCCAACGAATCCCACTCATTGTGTGCAAAACATTGAGCAGTAACACTTAGTCTCTGATGCACTTTCAGCTATGGTTTCAGCTCTTCCAAGACTGAGGTAAAGGACCTGGCGACGAAGATCGTGGATTTTGACCTCTAGCTCTAGATGACGGAGAAATAAAGAAAGCCAACGAATTGAGTCCTCGACAAACCGCACAAAACTTGCATGGAGATTCAGTTGTGTCAACAGAAAAATTTAAAAGTTCCTACGTGCGACTGTTAAGGCCTTTCAGGATAGAAAATGGGTTCGGCCTATTCTGAGCGACGCGAGCAAGCAGTACTGGTTGCCAATACTGGAACTTCGCTCCATAACTTCAAGAGGAAAAAGGTTCTTGACTTCGTGTTGACCGCATTTTACAAAGAGATGTTTCCCAATAACAAAGAAGATGACCGTGGTTGGCGGCTGATGGACAGCTGAGGGTG